GGGGGGGCCCTAGAATAATATCTAGAGATTTGAGGCTTTAAATCTTTATTCCTTTTCTTTGCCTTTTGATTTGCTTTGCTCACCCTCTATTCCTTATTTACTTTTCCTAAGCTCTTTAGTTGTGAAGCTTTCCAAAAGTTTCCCAAAGTCAGTGCGCACTTTCTTTATAGAATCCCTTATTCAAAAGTATTGAAAAACAAAAAAATCATTCAAGCAAATGGGGCTAGTCCAGCAAGCAGCTTTCTGACATTATTTAGGGGGGGGCCTAGAATAATGTCTAGAAATTTGAAGCTTTAAATCTTTATTCCTTTTCTTTGCCTTTTGATTTGCATTCAAGCAAAGGGGGTAGTCCAGCAAGCAGCTTTCTGACATTATTTAGGGGGGGCCCTAGAATAATGTCTAGAGATTTGAGGCTTTAAATCTTTATTCCTTTTCTTTGCCTTTTGATTTGCTTTACTCACCCTCTATTCCTTATTTACTTTTCCTAAGCTCTTTAGTTGTGAAGCTTTCCAAAAGTTTCCAAAAGTCAGTGCGCACTTTCTTTTTAAAATCCCTTATTTAAACGTATTGAAAAACACAAAAAATCATTCAAAGGCCTTTTGATGGAGATTGGATGCCTTTTGGTGGAGATTTCCATTAAACATTTGAAGATTTTCATTGATATTTGATGCTTTTAGATGCTTTTGGATGGAGATTTCTATTAAACATTTGGAGATTTCCATTGAGATTTGATGCTTTTGGAGGCTTTTGGATGGAGATTTCTATTTAAAAAAAATTCCATTGAGATTTGATGCTTTTGGAGGCTTTTGGATGGAGATTTCTATTAAACATTTGGAGATTTCCATTGAGATTTGATGCTTTTGGAGGCTTTTGGATGGAGATTCCTATTAAAAAACTTGAGATTTCCATTGAGATTTGATGCTTTTGGAGGCTTTTGGATTGAGATTTCCATTAAACATTTGAAGATTTCCATTGAGATTTGATGCTTTTGGAGGCTTTTGGATGGAGATTTGCTGGAGATTCCATTAATATTCCAGATGTCTTCAAAGTTAGGAATTCTTATTTCCTTTTAAATTAATATTGCCAGAGGTCTTCAAAGTTAGGAATTCTAATTTAGTATTGCCAGAGGTCTTCAAAGTTAGGAATTCTTATTTCCTTTTAATTTAATATTGCCAGAGTAGCTCCAGAGGTAGCTAGCTAAGGATTCCTTATTTAATTATCAACTGATTGATTTTCTTATACATTATTTTGGAGGCCTTGGCTGTTGAGGGGGGGGGGAGGAGTTTATAAATCAAGGGACTACATTAGGCAGTAGTCACGGGCACGACGAAGTCATCTCGAACTCTCATGCCACTCATGCAAAGGTTTCCAGCGGAAAATCTCACACACGGTCACACACGTGAATAGCAAATTACCCAACAAGCTCTCCCAAGTCTAATCCGTCTAATCAAATCACAGGTGTAAATCAGTGTAATGAAATCTCTCCTGGATGTTTTCTGGAGGAAGACCAGATGGCCGCAAGGTCCGCGTGAGCATCTGTTGCTTTGCAAGAGCGCATCGAGATGGCACCAGCGGTGTGCTGGCTGGATTCAGGATGAACAAGGCCACAAAATCTCGCGAAGCCTTGGTGAGAGCCGTCGCTCGGCTTGACTTGCTCCGTGATGACTGGAGTGGACTGAAAAATCTTGGGTAAAGCTGGACGTATTCATGAAATTGGATGCGATTTGCAGATCGAACCTCAACTTCGTAGCAATGTCTGAAGATAATGTCCACATCTACGATCTACCCGTCCGCACAAACACGTATCATCTAGAACTTGTGTACATAAAGTGGTTCTTTCTTTTCCTTCGTCCCAGCATGTTGCTGGGTTTTGCAGCTTCAGCCTTTCCCTAGTTGAGAGTCAACACATTCCGCTGTTTGTAAATTATATAATTGTTTTTGTTTTCACTCCTGCCTCACTGCCGCTCTTGTTGATCATGCGAAGGACACGGTGCACCAACTGGTGATTGGAGAACACCAGCAACGTTCCTGCCAGCAACCAAACGGAAACGCAGTACAACCAGCCATGGGTTGGCGCACAAATCTCTTGCCGCCCCACCTTCACAAATGGGCACACGGCAGCGGATCTTGTTGTCAACAAGTGCCTTTTTCAAGGAAGCTTTGTCGAACGAGCTTGCGTTGTGGCCAGCGTCGGCAATAGCCAAAACATCCAACGGCTCGCGGCCACAGAACTCCATGTCACCTCCCTCCAATGCAGAGTCCACATGGTAGTAGTACCTGAGTGCAGCTGAGATACCAAGCAAACACAGAATTATGTACAGGCTTGGCTCAGACAAGAATGCTGAGAGATCTGGAGGAAAACTCCAAGGGGGATGCGTGATGACGCCTGGTTGCGCTTGTGTGGTTCTGCCCAAGGTACAAGGCCACAGCTACCACATCTTCACGATGTCCATCCACATGCCACATGCCAATGTATTCTGATTCATGGTCCTCTCCCACTTTCGGCGGCAGTATGATTCCTTGGCTCAAGCTGAGCCTCAAGTGCTTGAGGCACAACTTTTTAACCAGGATGCAAGAACCGTTCCATCTGATTCCATCTCTACCGTCTGTCAAACTTTTCAAGAGAGTGGGTAGACTTCTACGATGTTCTACCTGAAACGGTCAGACATGAGGCTCTGGGCTTTGAAAACGGCCTGAAGCCTGAGGACAAAATTTGCATACAGTCGCAGCCAGAATAAATACTGTAACTGCAAATGCTGTAGATGTAATGAGCCAGCGAATTAATTGCCATACTAGTTACTAGATGTTACTCATGTCAAAATTGTTGGTGCAATAGAGTGCGGTAGATAGTGCTTTGATGCCGGGTAAGCAAATGCCAGAACAGCGTAAAAAGTAGCGGGTTTGAAAGAGTCAGCCAGGCCTCTCCGCTCATTCAGGACATTTGAGATTCTGCGAACGCATGCGAAAGCCGTCCTTCCTTGTTCCTGTCGCTATATGTCTCAGTCTTTCACTAGTCCGTGGATGATAGGCCCGTATAAACACTAACGCGCACCCGCATGACGCTGGCCTACGCCGGTCCAGCAGGAGCTGTGGTCGTCTCAACTTGGCGAGCAAAGGAAGGGACGCCTCCAAGATGGGTAACGCAACCTCAGGGGATCGACGAAACCTGGGAGAACAAAAGCCAGTAGAAACCACTACGCAGTATGCAGGTCCTAGTCCTAGTAAAAAGGCAAGAGGCAACACTGCGATACGCTGCGTATGAACACACTGCGAATGATGTCTACGAGGAAATTGCCCGAAGCGACCCGTAAGTATGCTTCCGGCAAACAATTATGCACTATAGTATACTTACTACAATGCTATAATACTTTAAAGTACGCCAGCAGCAACCCAGCACACCAGCTACAGCCAGGAGCAGAAACAGCAGCAGCAAACCAGCACATCAGAAGGAACAAGCAATGCGGCTCCGATAGCAATGTTCCTCAGGGTTGCGAACGGCCAGACAGGAGGAGGACGATGCAGGTAGAGGATAAAAGAAGGGCACAAGGTTGACCGATACTTGAGAGGAGGGAGACACGAAAGGTAGGACAGCGGGAAGAGAAGAGAACGCGAGAGGCAGGAACAAAAATGCAATGTTCGACATGGTGATTTATCCCCTCGGAGGCGACCTTTCGTAAATATATGTTCATATGCACTCTAAATGTTCAAACATATTATATGCTCTCGAAAAGTTCAGTTCTAGGGCGCCGCACTGTTTTACTTGAGCCAAAAGAAACGTAAGCGCTACGTGTGAGAAATGCTATGTACTAAACGTTCACGTGTCACTTAACTCCCCCCTCATTTCGAGCGGCGAGCGGACGGAACGTACACAGCAAACTATGTGGAAGCAGCAGGTCAGACACTCAGAAGTTGCAGTAGGCGTTCCCAAGCATTGGGCTGAATGACCTTTGTCAAGGCGTCAGCCGCTTGAAGATCTGTACTGCAATACTCAGCGATCATATCTTGAGCTTTGATGGTTTCAGCCAAACTGGCGACATCGTTGCGGTGGGTTCTTGAAGCGTGTCTAAGCTTCACCGAGAAGCCACTCTTCAAGATTGCTAGTGTTGCTGAGTTGTCTTCTTTGAGCTTCATCGTGACCTTCCTGTCTACGAGTTGTTCTAGAAAATCAAGCAATGGCTGTCCTTCGGAGTATACAGCGCTTGCCATGGAGATGGTCTCAGCCTCAGTTGTCGATCTTGCTACCGACGACTGGCGTCGCGAGTTCCATGCGATCGGCCAGCGTGAAGATCCTGATTCCAAGGTTATCATCATGCCAGATGTAGAGCGTGCACTGTGAACACACGATGCTAGATCAGCATCTGCATACACATGTATCTCCGTGCTCTCAACACTCCCAGCTTGAAAAACCATTTAGTACTTCTTGGTCCAATGAACATAGGACACCAACCTGTGAAGATGAACATCTTCAGCGTGTCCACACTGTGATTCTGCTTGCCAGCCTTCCGACTGAGTATGAAATATCTGGCCTAGCCAGTCGGGCCAGCCAGAGTCCTTTCATCAGTACTTTGGCCGAATGCGGCTTCATAGATCCTGTGGTTTCATACATCTCATCTGCGAGACCACTATCACTGATGTGAGGCGTGGCCACGCGACGGAGTGATTTGACATCAAATCCTGTGATGTCAAGGTATAGATCCACGAACTGCTCAGCATAACCAACCATGGATATTTTAACTTTTCGTGGCGTCTCGAGTTCGTGCAGTCTACCAAGAATGAGTACCGATTTATCAGAAGATAGCATTTGTGGGTCTTCAATTTTGATGAGCTCACTGAATTGGTCCCAAAATCGCTTGTGAAGATGAGATGCCCCTGACAACGTCAAGTCGTCAACATAAACATTTAGTATCATGCGATGCCTGTTGATGTTGAAAATGAAGTTGCTTGGAAAACCCGCTACTGGTGTACCCCCTAGCTTGGCAATACGTGTCTCAAGATACTCCTGCCAAAGGCGTCCTGCACGAGGGTGCCCATAAAGGGACTTGCGGAGTCTGACTGCAACCCTTCCGTGGAACTTGGTTTTCCATGAGCTCATCCACAGCTGCTTGGGTAGTATGACGAACGTCGGCTCATCTTCTGGCAGATAGCTTTGCAAAAACGCTTGTACAGCGTCTGCTGTAGACGTGGTGTGTCCATCCAAAGCACCCCACCAGAGACACATGTTGAGTGCTATGATTGTGGTGGGCGATGTGGACACCTCGGTGAAGAGGACTATGTCCCCATTTTGAGTCATGACTGTCCCCTCGGTACACTATCCTTCCTTTGTATTTTTGTTTGGACTCATCTAGTTCGGCGTGCTTAATGCCGCAAAGGATGAGGAGCTCAGCCACTTTGATGTCTTTGGACAGGATTTTGGACTGCCGCGTGAGTTCATCTGCATCGCAGGCGGTCTCGTCATCCCATGTCTGGTTTGACCTGAGTCCATCACTTTCCTTTCTGATGGCCTCTAAGGCTTTTGGATCTGAAAGCCATTCATTTCTGCTGAGGGCTTTTGTGACAAGACCAAACATCAACACAAAGGCGTCTTCAGAATCAACAAGGTTGTCTTGTATATGGGTTGTCTTGACTGACATTGCTGGGACGCGTTGCGTGTAAAACTGTTTTGGGTAAAGCGCTTCGGCAATGAGTGACACAAATGGAACGGTGTAGTACGCTGTTCTTGCAGCATTGCCGCCTTCACATGGTTCATGCTGATTCGGGCTGTGATTACACTGCATTTCAGCGAACAGCTCTACAACTCGACGGTCGTTGGTTGCCAACGTCCATGGCTTCTTCAACCATTTGTTCTGCCGTCCCTTCAGTCCCAACATGCATCCGTGGAACTGCACCATCATGAGGCGATGCCTCGCAATGAAATCCACGAGATTTGGAAGACGCCATCCCTTACAGTAAGTGGGCCATTCCCAAATGAACCGGCCATTGTTGGATATGACGTACTCCCGACTTGCAAAGCCAAATCAACCATGTAGGATGATGCTTCCTGCTTTTGCGTGAGGTCGGCCAGAAACGAATCACCAAGACGCTGGATATTCAACTCTTGGAGGTTGGACCATGGACCGCAAGGCAAAGACATCCATATGTCGGCGCCATGTTGGGCTTTGAGCTGCCCCACAAGTTGGAGAATGTGATGTGGATTGCTCAGGTCAATGGCCTCTTTGTTCAAGCGAACTACTTTCACACCATATTGTGGGAGTATGTCACCGATCAATGAGTCACTGCTACACGCATATTCGTATAGAACCCCAACCCCAGGAAGATCGGTTGCAAGCCGTCTGATGCGCGACAGCGGCGTCCACGCTTCTTTGGCTTGCTTCTGAGCCGTTAGTGCAAAGCTTGCACTCTCTGGTTCTGCTTCCTCTTCTCTCCTGGGTGTTGTTGGCGCGTATCCGGAGGATTCCCCATCACTTGCTGGAGGGCATTCTGGAACAAGATCTTCGGCCATCAGGTCGCCGGACGCGATCGCTGAAGGCTCATCTTTGTCTTCTTCCAGGATTGTTTCAGCGATGATGGGGATGCGCTTTGCTCCAACTGGAACCGGCTTGTCGGCCCTGATCAGTCGGTTGAACCGGTCTCGGCATGCTTTCGAATGCCTGGACGTCAGCATTTCACAACCCCTGCAGTTGTCAGTGCCACCGTACTTGATGAGACGATCTAGTGTGATGTACTCTGCACGGGTCTTGGCTGGCATCTCAATGGGCTCATCGCCTCATCGCTGAAAGGAATGCTGATTGGAGGGATCTTTGAAGGATCTTCCATACTGAATCCTGCCAAGGACTGGCGGTGCGAAGTTTTGAGAGGCATTGTCAAATGATCGTCAAACACTACCTCTTCTTGTGGCACTGCAATGGTGTTCTCAAAACCTGGTGCCTGTGCGCGGAGCTTCTCGTAGTCCAGTATGATTACAACCCCCCTGAAACGGCATCCATTCTCGAGCCTCCACCCCGCAAAAATGCCTGGGAGACATGCGCCACCAAATTTGTGAAGCTTGGTCTTGTCACTAACCCTGTAATAGACCAGTTGTCCCAGTAACCAATGAGGACCGTCAAACCTTTGGTCTGATGCTGCCTCAAGTCTTGTCAGGGCTCTTTCCCCTTCTGGTGGCTTCACATCCGGCTGTGTCCAAGCAAGTGCGAGCGACACTGTGCAGTATCGAACTGTTATGGGCCACAAGGATGCATATGGGGCAAAGCCAGCAGCGAGATGGGTGGCGCGCACGGATTCCTCAAATGT